AGTTGAGTGTAAATGTTGTGGCTCAATTTTATAGTTGGTTTAAATGTCATTTTCCTTTGCTTTTAGGTAAGGTAATTTATGATAATGAGTTTGAAACAAAGGAACATAAATTTAAACCAAGGATAAAATTGAACCACAACATACCCAGTGATGGTATTATGGCAAGGTGGAAATTTTGAGGAGGAAGGACAAGGGTTAAATTAAAAACAAGTACCTTCTTGCGGCGACTAAACTTCTTGACATTGGAGACATCACTAGCAGAGAAATGGGGTGCAATCTCCTTGCTCATAACTTGAATGTGATTAGCAATCAGAACGGTTCTATAGAAATAAAGACATTCATTGCATTGTCTCTTTGATTTAACCTTAAGTAAATATCAGGGTTCTCATTAAGTGCCAGCAGCCAGCTAAAAACCGGCTACTTGGAGGTTTGAGCAATAATCTACTTTTTGGGAAAAAGGAAAAAGTGAGAGAGTCAAAGCCTGAAATTGCCTACAGCACTCAGTTACCGAGCCGCCTACTTTTACATCATAGCTATCTACTTTAAAACTTAATTAGAACCCTGAGTAATGCTAAATTTGGTTAAATGTAATTTAACTAAGTTAACCACCACGAGCTTAGCGGTCAAGCAGTTCATAAGCTTAGCGGTCAAGCGGTTCACATGCGTAGCGGTCAAGCGGTTCACAAGCATAGCGGTCAAGCGGTTCACAAGCTTAGCAGTTAAGCAGTCCACAAGTTTAGCGGTCCACAAGTTAAGCGGTCTAGCGGTCCACAAGCTTAGCGGTCAAGCGGTCTACAAGCTTAGCGGTCAAGCGGCCCACAAGCGTAGCAGGCATCCAGCGGTCAATCCCATAAGTGCAGGCTCACATGGTTTGTGGTAGCTTTGTACACGGCTAGGATCTGTGAATGAGACCTCTGCAGGGCTTCCACAAGCTACCTTTGACATTTTAAGTCATTTTATTTAGCATTATTTCTACCATTATCTTGAAAATTTTGGCACTTAAGAGTCTTGGGCTTGGATTTTTTAGAAGACGAGTCTCAGTCTTGGATTTGATAAAAACGCTCAAGCCTTGGTCTTGAATTTTGAAACCAGGGTTTTGCAGTCTTGCAAAGTCTTGAATTTACAATTCTATACCCCTTGTGATGAATACTGATGGTTCAAGAAATATTTGGGATTCTATGGTATTAATTTACCTGAAAGTTCCTGGTGTAAAGCCAGATCTCTTAGAAGGAAGGCAGCGATACATTCCAATCACTTGCACTCTGTCACCGGGCTTCATGAAAAATAAAAAAAAGACATCATATAGTTTATCATGTTTAATCTAGGGAGTCTAAAGGATGGTCTTGCTGGTGAATGAATCCTCTTGAAATTCCACTTTCGTGATTTTTTTGTTGAACAGTTTTAACCTTGAGATCTCCCTCTCTTTTTTGGGGGGAGTGATGATGGATATTTCAAAATTAACCAATCTATCAGTGTGACAAATTATGTTCTGAGTCCCCAGTAACAGAGCAACACCTGTGGCCAGCTATTGTTTTCTATTGTTTTATTTATTTTATTTTATTATTTTGCCACACAGAATAAATTACAATTAGAATAAAAAAGATAATAAACACGTTAATTAATATTAAATTTAAAACGAGCACACAACTTGGAAGGGGTGACTGTGGCGGGGACATCTCTGAGAAGCCGAGCTTATGAGGAATAGAGATTTCCCCCCAAGGGCAATTTAAATACTAGGCGGCATTTAAAAGTAAAGATCCTACAGACCTTAACACTTTAATAAAGGTTATGGATCGTTTTTTAAAAAACAAATGGCAGTTCATAACACACCTTGCATTTATCTACCAGGTCATTATCAGAAATGATGTCTACTGAACGAGGCAGCTGTCCTGCAGGGGCTTTTTCTGGCATTTCCTGCAAGCAAAAAGAAGAGTTGAAATTATGCCACTGCAGAAATTGAACAAGCAAAGAAGCCATTTGGGCAAACCAAAGATACCAATATTTTACCTGAATTGTAAATGTTTGGTGATCCTTGTAAGTTGATAAACCATATTCAGTTTCCAGTGGGTTACCATCTTCATCCTGAGGGTGGCAAAAGTTAAGCATCTGCATCAGTTATGTATGTACAAAAATTTACAAGTAATAACAAAGATCATGGTCAATACAGTGTTCTCCTTATGAGGCGGTAACCGGTAAAATTTACCGCTTGAGGCAACACTTCTTACCGCCTGCAACCAAGTGTTACTAAAATTTAAAAATAAATTGTTTCAAAAATATGCAAGTTGTGATCCAAGCCGATCCCTGTAAGAAAAGGAAGTAAATATGGAAAAACAAAAAGTATACACAGCTATTCTCCCTAATTACTTTATTAGGTGCCGACTGGCACCTTTCAAAGCACTGCAGGCCAACAATTTTTTCGTGGGCTACTGTCCCAATTCTAAGCTTTTTCGACCAGCGGGAAAAGTTCGCAACTTCCGCGACTTGTGTTACTAAATTGACCCTAGCGGCAAAGGCAGCCTTCATTCGTAAAATTCTTTGTTTTGAGGTGTTTAAAATACTTTTCGGTCAATTGGTTGACAGGATGCTCGAAAATAAAAGCCTTCATGAACGCGAAGCCCCTCCCCTGGCAGGAGAGTGCGCCTCTGGCACATATTTTTGGCCTTACCAGTCAAGAATGGTCCCTTACCTGCTAAGCTAAAATTTAGGGAGAACACTGTCAATATTGAAGAGAAATGCACACTTTGAAATACCTTTGTAGGATAAACTGTACTTGATGGAAAAGCATCAAGGGAAGTCAGGTCAGTGTATCTACGGATCAGCGTTTTCTTCGTTTGTGGACAGTAGTGAACACTACGAACAACTTTGGGCCGCACAAGGGAACCTACAAATCACAGCAAAATGTATTAACAAAAAAGAAATATTTATTTAAGATCAGAGTGCACATTCAAGGCAGGGAGAATGTTATCAACAAGCTTACTTACATTTAGTTACAATGCCTTCCACACAGACCATGTTTCCAATAAAATGAGCTGAGAGTGTCCTGGGTGTAACATGCTTTGAGCCAAAACTAGAAAGGAATGGAAAGAAAGTTACCAAGTTAAATTTATCTAGTAAAAGAGAATATTAAGCATTAATTTTTAAATTTATTTTCATGAGAATTCATTGGGTGAAAAAATAAAAATCTGTTATCAGGCCTCAGGTACCTTCCATCAAATCCAACAAAGAACTCTTCATGTTTCTTCCCATAAGCTGTATCAGCAGAGCTAACAAACTCTTTTAGAGCATTCTGAGGAAAAGGAAAGTTTTTAAATTGAATTAGTAATAACTTTGAAAGACTAATTAAAGTAAGAGAGCAATGCTTCCAAAAAAAATTGGTGTTAGAATGAGGCACAGTGTTGTCTTAAGAAGAATTTGTTTCCATCAAACACAGCTCATAGTCCATCTAACAAGTGAATACTATTTTGAGAACTACATCTTCTAAAAGCGATAATATCTGGGACGACATTAACTTTAAAAAAAACATACCTGAAAGGCAATCAACTCCTCAAAAGAATTGTTTAGCAATCTAAAAAAAGAAGAAGGTAGTTTAAATACACTAATTTCTTAAAGACTGCTCAAGTTAAGTGGATTATAGTGGGTCTAACAAAAGGAACCAGTCCCTAACCCACCACCACCACCCCCTCCCTGAAATCAAGGATGACGCCTTTCAAAGGCAAAAATTTGCCATTTTTCCATTGTTGATTGGGGGGTAGGGAGGTCTAAATTTTCCATCCCTTTTTTCCAAGACTGCAATCAAGAGGGATCTAAATTTTTCCACCTATTTTGTCCATGATTGCAATCTTGGACAGGATAAAATGGAGAAGTAAAACACATAATTCCCTTCAAATGAAGGATGAAGCCTTGCGGAGGCTAACTATGCCATTTTACTTTTTTTCAAATGGGGAACTAAATTGTCCACCTATTTGGTTCAAGATTGAAGATGGTTTCTCAAATATCAGACAACCCACTTGTAGTGTACAGCGGTTGTATGAGCAAGAGTGCATAGCGTACAGCGGTTGTACGTGCAGGACATACGGGAACTTAACAGTGTGAGCGGGCGTTGAGTGAGTGAGTTGACTTGGTGTCGAGCAGAGCAGATGAACGAATAAAGCGTTCGGTTTTATTTGCCTTTGTGGCTGTTAGTACTCTACAACTTAGTTTATTTTATTCTCACGGTAATGTATTTTCGTTTTCTTTTAAACATATGATTGTAAAGCGCTATTGATCAGCACATGTAAATACGCGCTATATAAATTGGTAAATTATTATTATTATTATTATTAATTTCTGCGCTTTATTCTCAGACGTCATTTCGCGGGGAAACCAGTGGTGGCATCGTGAAATGTCGACTGTTTGCTCTGGCTACGAGTTCTCTTTCAGCGTACTGATTAACGCACGTCAGCTTCACCTTTTTGGAAAAGAAACTGAACACTTGTTTTTACACTTGACTTGATTCTTACGTAATTGGCTCTTCTTTAACAACTGACTTTTCCTATTCATTCAAAAAAACGGCAATGGAAGAAAAGCATATCTTGCTTTTAATGTTGAAGAACACTAAGACTGGCAGCATCTCAAACGATGACGGTAACAAAGCCCGGGTTTAAAAACAAGGCATTTTTTGAGCAAGATGCCATCGAGAACGGAGAGGTCGTTACGTCACGTTGCCATGGTAGCGAAATTCCTGGATCTCAACAACCTTGGTCCTGTAAATATGGCAGAAAAAAAAACGAGAAAGTTGTCATGTATGACTTTCCTGTGCAAGATTGCACACAGAAACCAAACGGTAGCCCATTGTTTTTTCCATCGTTCGACAATGCAAATGGCCGTCTCTGTCAAGAAAGATTGTTGAAATCAAAAAATTTTCCCACCATAGTACCGTGAATATCAAACCTCTCCTCTTTAGAGAGGAATTTGATACACAACTAAATTCGCATTTCTGAATTAAAAGAAACTTTAGTAAATCAGTAAGGAGAAGTCATATGATACCTTTCGGTCGATAAAGTGACAGGTGTTTTATCTTCACTTGTGTCCATGGGCTCCTCTGCGTCACTTGTCTTGGTCGATCGACGCCGCTTCATTTCTTCAACCACATCTTAGGAAACAAAACAATAATAATCATGTGACCCCCTGGTACACACGGGAGAAAACAAGATTGACTAGTCCAGAAGTTTGGGCTGATTCAGGCAGAGCCTCTTTTCCCCTAAACTTGCTACAAGTCGACCTCTCATAAATTCTTAAAAGTGAGCGAAGCGAGTTTCAATGCATGAGGTCGCGCAGCGACCGAGCGAGCAACGAAGTCTCTTCGCGAGCGACGAAGCCTCATCGATCAAGAAGACAACAAAAGGGTCTGTTTGCAGGGTGTACATACGGGAACTTACGGCACGAACCATTCAACAAATATTTCAAAGATATCATGTCCTTTCCACCATCGGGTATATTACCAACTCACAATAGCCTGCTTTCCAGTTGGCTTGATTACCTCAATGGATAGAGTGCGGCTTTTGGTCAATCGCAAGGTCAAGGTTCGATTCCCGGTCAAGCCCGAGAATTTTCAGGTTCTTTTTCAATCGCTTAGGTTGTTCATTCTACTGCAAAAATCACGTTCACTTTCATATCTTTATCCGCAGTTCAAAATGACTTAATTCATTCGACATTCACCATTTCCAATCCAAGCTAAGCGGGACACTCGCCCTCGCGTGCATTCCCCTCGCAAAATCTAAAGAAAAAAAGAGACTGCTCGCAGTTTATTATTTTCTTACAAGTCTTAGAAGTAACGAAAAGTAAGCACAAGCTACGTTCAAAAGATGAAACTGTTATTGAGAAGAAGCAAATCATTTACCTATAGATTCTTGTTCTCCCTCATCGTCATCAAAGTCATAAGGGTCGTATCCTTCCTCGCCTTTCTTCTTTTTCGCGACCTTCTGTTTCTTGGCTTGTTGTTGAACTGTTTTACTGAAAAATAAATAACGTAATTACTATTAACAAAACGGCAAGGGCACTCTAACAAATAGCGAGGGCATTAGGAGGGGAAACCGGTGGTGGCATGGCGAAATCTCGGCCGGGTGAACGGTCGTTTCGCTAACGTTCCGTCTGCTAACGTCTTATGTCGTTCCGCTAAGAAGCGAAACGAGCGCTGCGCATGTATATGCTTCGTTCTCTCAGCCATGATACAAACAAGTGCGATACGCATTTACATACCGCGTGGTTTTAGCCACTGATAAGGTGAAAGCAGTTAGGGAACTGACCCAAGAAGTACGACTAGTGAGTGAAACGACCGTAAACCCTCGGCCGTTATCTCAAGCTATCTAACAAACAATTTATCTTAACAAGTCTGACCTGAAACTAAAAAACGGGATTTATTTCGAGGGCTATGAGACATCATACGAGGTAGCAAAATGAACTCTGTGTTTTAAAGACCGCACGACCGGAATTAGTTTCTATTCTCTGTTTTTGAGCGGATCCAAGTTGACTGGTCACTTCGTCATCATAATTATTTTTTCCAATTCTCTTCGTCCATATGCCATAAAGATTATCGAAATTATTTTCGTGGCCGAGCGGTTAGAGCGCTGGGATTGTACTCCGGAGGTCCTGGCTGTAAGTCTCACCCTGACCGCTAGCTGGATTTATTTTGGTAGTCCCGAGTTCAAATCCTCGGTCACGGACACCCTTGATAATAGGGACCTTAAGCAACTACTTCGACGACGACAACAACAGCGTCAAAAAACAATAGGTTTTATGACCAAAACAACAACTCTGCACGTGCATCACGCTTTTTAGTACATTTCTTTGACGTCCACTGCACAACTACGACGTGAAATCTCCCAATGCGACGTTATATGGAGGACGTGGACATACGATGACAAATTTTCCTTTCTCTATTTCAACATGGGTAAAGGCTTTGAGAATTCAACTCAAGGGAAAGTCGCCTACATTTGACGAATTGAGCGGTTTCAGATAGACGCGATGACGTTTGAAGGGCGCAAATTCATTTTTTAAGTGATGTTTTCACTGCCGATCGTCGTCGTAGTTGCTTAAGGTCCCTAACAGCCCACTGTTTGCATTCTTAACCATGTGGGCCACACTGAAAACGACTTGTTTACCAGGAAATGTGTTACCCCTTCGAAGACAACTGTTTTTAATTTTCTTACCTTTTGGCTGTTCTTTGCTGTGACTGGCTCTCCTGCGATTCACCTTCCTCCTCTTCACCTTCACTTTGCTCGCCTTCAGATTCGTTCTTCCTTTTCTTCTTTTCTCTTTTTTCCACCTGATAAAAGTGAAACGCAAATCAGCATTTTAGCACGACTGGTCATTAGCTGTCGCCAAACCAAAAAGAGAGTAATAACCAATCACAACAGGCATGATAAGGCAACGAACCAATCATAGTGAAGCTAGTTATGTAGCCAGCACCAAGTGCGGGAAAACAAGCGCATTCAAGTCTTGGCTGTCATTTAACCCCTGATTGGTCGCGAGAGTGTTGTGCGAATTTTTAGCCAATCATATCACAGGATAGAAAATCTAAGGCTACGTTCAACGGCACTGGACGAGTTTTCGACCGATTGAAAATTGGTGCGTTCAGGTTTTCCGCTCACATGGAACCAAGCTAACCATATGAAATTTAGACGCCTGGCCCTTCAAAGTGCCGTGTGAACAAAGCAAAAATATTGAACGGTCTCGCGTGGACCAAGTGTCCGGTCAAATTTTTCAGCCGATCGAAAATTCGTCCAGTGCCGTGAGAAGCTCGTTCAAGTCACCAAAAATTTCTCTAGAAGCGGTGTGTAAACACTTTGCAGTAGATAAATATTTACCTTATGAAAGTATGCAAATGACACCATGTCAATTGCAGCCTCAGCATCATCCTAGGAAAACAAATAAATAACTTTTCATCTCCCTGGCGTTTCAAAGGACATGTTGAAAAGAAGAAAGGCGAAAAGATTCCGCCAAAAACTGAACCACTTACCTCTGTTATTTCCTTACTCATTCTTGCTTTAGCGTGAGCAGTTGCTAAACGAATCATCGTTTCCAAAGTTCGCGCTGTAACAGGCATAGTCTACAAGAAAAAGAATTGAATGAAAAATTGAATGACGCCAAAAAACACATAATACGGTTTCTTTCTTATATTTTGTATTAATTGAGAGAGAGAGAGAAAAAATAATGTTAATATTCTGTTGCTGTTTAACCATTATTTACGGGTCAGTTCAGTACTTTTGCACACCACGGAGAGGTGAATAACTGAATAACTTCAAGAGATTTGTCTTCACTTAACATACCTTTGCTTTCTCGCTACCAACATTTTCCTGGTCTCTCAGTTCTGAGTAACTACTGGAAATTTTGTCTGCCGCTTCTTTTGTCAAACGAGGCTAAAATGAGAACAAAAGACACAAGAAAGACAAAAAGAATGAATTGCCATTTGAGTTGTCAGGAGAAAGTTGAAAGCTACCTTTACAATATAAATTACTTATAACAAAGTTCTGATATAACGCGCAATCCGATTGGTTGCGAAAGCGTGCTTTATGAGAGTATAAAACAATGCTGACGACACACTCGTTTGCTTTGAAAATAAAGTTTGTTTTGAAAATTAGAAAGCAATGCGTGGGGAGATTTAACGGTTTATTTATCATTGAAACAAATAAAGAAGCCTTGACTGTGCTCTGTTTTGTTATAAAGCACTGAAGAAGCGGCTAAGCACTCAACAAGTACAGAGAAACACTCGAAGACCTCTTTGGTTCCCTAGCCGCTTCTTGCGTGCAATCACAACAGAACAGAGCACAGTCAAGGCTTCTTTATTTGTTAAATAAAGATACCTTGATACTCTTTGCAACATGAATATACTTCTTCATAAATGCCATAGACACATATCGCTCTCTGAAATAAAACAAAGATTGTCAAAACGTGCATTTCAGATAACCCACCATGACTACTACTTTTGTCTAGTAAAAATTGCATTCTGTTAAAGATACTAGGGAACATACGATCCTACATTACGGCGACGTCCATGAAAACGTCGCTATTTTCGTCAATTTGGTCATTTCACGTCGTAGTTGTGCAGGAACACCAAAGAAATTTACCAAAGAGTGTGAAGTTGTTATTTTGCTCATTAAACTGATTGCTTTTTTGACGTTCCCGTTGCCGGCGCCGTCTGAGTTTTAGTTCTAAGGTCCCTAATAACAGAAAAATAAATAATACATAGAACTTACTTGCGGTCTTTGCGTTGCCCATGCAGCATAGCATCATGCTTCTCAAAGATGGGTGTCTCGGTTTCCTCATCCTCTGCTTCAGGGTCTTGCGTCGCTAAAGTTTCTGTTGTTACTCCAAATGGCAAGGCTAGTATAGAAAATAACCCCAATCAGAAGTGACAAAATACGTCCTCAGGCATGTAACTCCAGGAAACCCTTAACTTCCTCACAGCAAAAAGTGGCAAAACTCAAAATTTAACAAATCTTTCCCATTTCATTTTGTAAAATGTTGAGAAACAAATAGTACACTGTGAAAGAACTGCTGAAGAGGTTTCATTTGAATGGCTACACCATAGGATTTCACCCACAGACTCAAAAGTTAGAACTACAGAGTAGTAATAACCAAAGGTTATGGAGTGCAGGCAACGACAATAGATAAGGTTAAAACACTTTTGTCCAACAATGCTGTGCATATGATGACAAACATACGACAAACTAGTCCAGTTCCAGCCATGAACAGCTTTTGTTTGTATCTTAAAATTAGCATGCTTTCATTCATAAATAAGGCTTTGAAGATACAACCGAGCATACATTGGGGCAGGCTACCTAAGCCTACCCCCTCTGGGGCTTCATGTTCCATTAACTGCATTTACCATCTGGTAAATGTCTTATTTACAGCTACCATTTTACGAGTTCCACTTCCTATCCCTCACATTCGTGAATTTTGATATTTGCTCCCTCACCCCACCCTGCTAATGTTTAACCTACTCACCCTCCCCCTCCTGCTCTCCAGGTTTTCTGTATCTGTGCATCCTCAGTACATGCTCTGAGATTTTGCGATCATTGTCAGGGTCCATCTAGTTAAAACAGAAACAACATGAAAATGGCATAATACAACACCCTACTTCTCTTTATAAAAAAGTTAAAAAAAGTTACACTCTTTGGGCATACACTTCTTTGTGCTAGGCTCTCAGAAGTAGGCACATCGTGAAAATTAAACAAACCAAACGAAAATAAGATGCACACAATCTGAGGAAGGGGGTGGTAACCACTTAAGCTGCATGACTAGTGCAAAAATATCTTAGAGCATGGAACAGGCTAGTTGAAGGTTCCATTGTGCAAGTAATCCTAAGCACCATATTGTCAGTCATCATTTTTCACTTTTTGCTGGTAGCTTGTCAGTGACATAATATTATTATGCTACTGGATTGCTTTATTTATTCATTTTATTTTCGGTTACCTCATTATGGTTAAACCCTTTAGACCAGTAAATGCCCTGGGTGTAAAGTCTTAAAATTGGCCCACAACTTTGGCCCTCTGGGCAAACATTGCCCTGGCAACAATTTGGTTGAGGATGCCCATGGCAGTCAAGCAGAACTACAACCAGTGCCCATCACAGCCAAAGCGCAGTGCTTATAAAGTCCTCCGTGGACTCTATCCAAAAATTGACAATGAATGTGCAGTCTCTTGCACATCTCCCTTTTAATGACTAATTAGATACTGAAGTTTAACAATGAATTAATTGACTTACTTGATCAAGAACGATGAACAGCAGATCAAAACGAGATAGAAGAGAATCCTGCATTCCAATGTTATCCATGGGGTTCTTATACTCATCATACTAGAAAGACAGTAACAAAAATGGATTCAGAATTAAAGGTGCAAGATCAAAGATGGCGGCAAAAGAGAGTTGATTCTCTCTTAACACAAAAGAACAATCTATTTAAAACAGAAACCTGCCAAAAATTGACACCTAGTGCTGCTTCCTTTATTACTGTCGGTCATTTTTATTGACTCTCTATAATTAAGGCAGACACTTCTAAATTACAGACACTTATTGCCAGTCCCAGCGTAATGTCAAGTCCGCAACAACATATAACGAAGGAGTCTAACAGGCTTCATGGCCAATACACTCTTTTAACTATGGAGCAGTATTGCTAGCCTGCGAACAGGCTCCCAAGTAGAGCAGGATGAAAAAGGAAATAGCTTTGTCCTCAAAGTGTGGCTTTGGGGAGAAAAAATGTAACGACACAGTCAAACAGTCTGCAAACAGTAGCAAGTCTCTTTCCATACCCTGCCATAAACAGGATTAGCAGCAGCTAAAACAGAGCACCGAGCATTGAGCTTTGCATGAATTCCAGCCTTGGAGATGGTAACCCTTCCCTGCTCCATGACCTCATGAATAGCTGTACGATCAAGATCACTCATCTTAAAACAAAAAATACAAACAAACAAAAAATATTATTCTTTGGCTGTATACCTACAGTAGCTCTAAACATAAGAAAACAACATAAAGTGACTTGGTTTAAATCTGCAAACAAACTTATGAAGTGACCTGCATGAAAGTATAAATTGGCTATAACTGTTTGAGGTCACACAAGGAAAAAGGTTATAACTTATACTAAACCAGTAACTAAGCACCTAAAAGTAGTATCAGGGTGCAAAGAAAGTCAGTTTTACTGCTTGCCATTCAGGCATGTTGCAGCAAGCATGTACTAGCCCCAAAGTCACTTCAAAAGTTACTTCTGTGGTTTGAATACCCCATCAAAACTTCACTTTCCCATAGGGCAAAATAAAGTAGCAAAATACACTAGCCACGGGCTATCCAACACTACTTTCTTTGCATGTGGAGTATTTAAATTGTTTTTACAGAATTAATATCCTGCCTAAAACAAAAAACATCATGTCAGAACATCAAACTGCCTACTGTGCCTTAAAAAGTACACATAATCATGCTTTTTATGCAATTTGCATTAAACTTGTAATATAATATTATATTTAATTAATAATATTATTATCTCTGGCTCAGCAACACCATCAAATTCATTCATTTTTATATTATTAAAGATGCAGTATACTTCACACCTTTTTCAAAGCAAGCAAAAATTATGGTGAATGAAATTATCTGCAAGTCTTGGTACCTTGTCAAACTCGTCAATACAGACAACACCCCTATCAGCAAGCACCATGGCTCCTGCTTCCAGGCGACGCTCACCTGTCAAAGACAGTAATAAACAAAAATAAGTAAAAAGTTCAGTAAAAGTTCCAGATTGTCATAAAGAGGAGTGGGGGGGAGGGGGGGGGGTAATTATCCAGACCTTGTGATCAGGGAGGGGGGCCCGACTCCATTCTGCTATATGTGCTACTGGAGTTGTGTTAATTTTCTGGAATCTTATTCTCTTAATGTTTAGATATTCAGGGAACGAAAAAAGTGAGGTCCATTGTACTGGGAGAAATAGACTTTCCTGGCAGGTAAGTAACTTTTTAGGTTCCTTTCCCCAGTGGACAAAGACCTTGCAAGTCACCTTTTAACTAAATCATAAAACAAAGACACATTCAATAACCCTGGAAAAGCAAAATGTGAGAATGGCTTGCCCCAAGCCAAAGGACAAACTAGAATTCAAGTTCTCTCCAAGTCCCCCCACGCATGTTGTGTTTGGGATGTATAGAGTTAAAATAAATAGTGTATAACTGCAAAAGACAAAAACAAGATGTGATTACCTGTCTCTGGATCTGTGGTCACTGCAGCTGTCAAGCCGACTCCTGATGAGCCACGCCCAGTTGTTGGAATGGCACGAGGAGCAGAGTGTAGGACATACCTAAAATCAAAGAGGGTTAGGGTTACTGATTGTAAATAAGATAAAACTTAAAACAAAATGTTATTACATTACCACGTTCCCTACCCATAGCATAGCATTACTTCTCTCCTGCATATACAAATGATGTAAGACCCACAATCCTTGATTTGATCTGAGAAAACCTCAGCTTTTGAATCTGCCTACAAGGCAAATTTCCTTGACAACTAAGTTGATAAAAACAATTTGTGTTTTACTTGCCCACCACTGTAGTACACACTTTTATTTCCATGACCCTAACCCTTTCTTACCTCAGCATCTGTGACTTGGCAGTAGAAGGATCACCAATCAAAAGAACATTTATGTCACTGAAAAATAAGGTAACAATGGACATTAAGGATGTTCTTTTAATTTGAAGTTATAACCATCAACTACCTAATGTTGAGGCTTTCACTAAGATTTCAAGTTGCCCATTAAATGCAATTTGAAGGTAGGGAATTGAGCAGCTAGGAAGTTCTTTATCTGTTTAAGCCCCAATATACATGTACAAATTCTCCAAACTGATCTCTATATATTTTCTTAAAGAATGAGTTGAGAGAATTTGATAAAAGATCAAAGCATTTTCTCTCAGGTGATCACTTTATTAATTCTCATAACCTAATCTCTTCACATTGTATGGATATTGTTAGGAGAAAATTGATGTTGGTCACTATTGGCACTCAAAGGGTTATAGGAAGTAGCTTGAGGGTGCTGCTCATAGTAGCCGGGGGAAATCCCTGGTCCCTCGTCCCTGGCCCTTCGTGACAGCCCTGACTTTTTAATTCTTTAGTTCCACATTACCGGTCACAAAAATCCACTGAGGATGAGATCTTAGAGAGCTGTATGAATCATGCTTTCCTAATTCAGTAATTTTAAGTCATTTAAACTGAATCATTTTTTTTTCAGCTGTTAGGTTTACAATAAGAGGCTGGTGGGTACATTGTGATTCCTGAGACTCAGATATCTTGTTTGAAAGAAACTATCTAGATGTTACTTTTTTTAACCTACCCTCTCAGTCTTGTTCCATTTTCCAAGACTTTCTCTGTTCCACCCAAAAGAAGGCATAGCACTGCTCTTTTAATGTATTCATGACCATGGATTGATGGTGCTAATGACTGGGCAAGGGTTTCAAAGACATCCTGCTGGAAATAGAAGGGCAGTGTAACATAAGACAGATCTGCAGAGTGACACTGGAAGGATTCCTGGGAAGTGATAAACTATTAATGAATTTGAAAATGCACATTTATGGGCTGTATGACTACATCAGTTCTTTTGTTATGCTATTGATAAAACTTGTTGTTTTGTTCCATGCTCTGCAAAGAGTTTTCTGAGAAATCATAATATGCACTCAGGTGCAGCTGTCGCCAACAAAAACGAAGCCCTTAGCTTGTAAAGAGCAATCTTTATTTGCAATACAAATAAACTTGTATTCTGATAATTCTATTACGTCTCATTTTGAAAGGTTTATGCATTTTACTGGACTTTTTTGCAGTTGAGTGTATAAGTTGTGGCTCAATTTTATAGTTGGTTTAAAATGTCATTTCCTTTGCTTTTGGGTATGGTAATTTATGATAATGAGTTTGAAACAAAGGAACATAAATTTAAACCAAGGATAAAATTGAACCACGACATATCCAGTGATGGTATTATGGCTAGGTGGAAATTTTGAGGAGGAAGGACAAAGGTTAAATTAAAAACAAGTACCTTCTTGCGGCGACTAAACTTCTTGACATTGGAGACATCACTAGCAGAGAAATGGGGTGCAATCTCCTTGCTCATAACTTGAATGTGATTAGCAATCAGAACGGTTCTATAGAAATAAAGACATTTATTGCATTGTCTCTTTGATTTAACCTTAAGTAAATATCAGGGTTCTCATTGAGTGCCAGCAGCCAGCTAAAAACCGGCTACTTGGAGGTTTGAGCAATAATCTACTTTTTGGGAATACTTTTTGGGAATTGCATTTCAGAGCTTCAATATTTAAAAATTTTCATTGGGAACCTGCCTTAGTTTCCTCCCTAGTGTACAACCCCTCCTTTTCTCTCAGCTCAGCTCAGGTTGGACAGATGTTTACTTCAAATCCTATTGAGAACCCTTCATTTAATATAGTTTTATGTCACAGTTTTAAGGCAATGTCCCTTGTCAGAATTTTACCCCAGCAGGCAGGAGCTCTCGAATAGGGAAGGGAGTCCCCAGTTTTGGTTTGCACTATCAACTGTATTAAGGGTGGTGAATGGTCAGCTAAAAATGTTGAACATGGGTCTCAGGAAATTTTGGCCTGATCTTGAAATCTTAGAAGCATTTATGGGTCTCAATGTCTCGTTTTTGCATGTTATTTGCATCTCGGAGTCTCAATTTTTTTCTTTGCCAACAGGTCTCTGAGTCTCGGATTTGTCATTTTTTCTTTTCTTTTGGTTACCAGGAGTCAAATTTTTCCGAGTTTATGGGTACAGCTTATCCAACTGAACTAAGAGATTAAGAGTAAAACAAGATGGTGGCACACAACTTGCATTAGCTAAAGCAGTATATTGGTGGGCTTCCAAAAGCTTCTTTTGACATTCCAAGTCATTTTATTTAGCTTTATTTCTACCATTATCTTGAAATTTTTGGCACTTAAGAGTCTTGGGCTTGGATTTTTTAGAAGAAAAGTCTCAGTCTTGGATTTGATAAAAACGCTAAAGTGTTGGTCTTGAATTCTGAAACCAGGGTTTTACAGTCTTGCAAAGTCTCGAATTTACAATTCTATACCCCTTGTGATGAATACTGATGGTTCAAGAAATTGGGATTCTATGGTATTAATTTACCTGAAAGTTCCTGGTGTAAAACCAGATCTCTTGGAAGGAAGGCAGCGATACATTCCAATCACTTGCACTCTGTCACCGGGCTTCATGAAAAATAAAAAAAAAGGACATCATTTTATTGTTTATCATGTTTAATCCAGAGAGTCTAATGGATGGTCTTGCTGGTGAATGAATCCTCTTGAAATTCCACTTTGGTGATTTCTGTTTTTAAAACAGTTTTAACCTTGAGATCTCTCTGTCTTCTTTTGGGGACGCGATGATGGATATTTCAAAATTAACCAATCTATCAGTGTGACAAAGTATGTTCTCAGTCCCCAGTAACATCATCATCATCATCATCATCATCATCATCATCATCATCATCATCATCATCATCAATCTTTATTTATACACGAAATCGTATCATTTTACATGGTCTTCCTAGGAATCGTGTTTAAAACTAGACTAAAATACTAAAACTAAAAGACTAAGGAACTATTGACTATAATGTTAAAAATACAAAAACTTACATTATGAATAATAAGAGTTACAATGGGTCATGGTGTATTAGAAAAATCTTCCCCATGAATTGAAGTTTTAAAAACATTTAAACTAGGCAGTTTTCTAATCTCTGAGGGAATCTTGTTCCACAGAACAGATCCTCTGTAGTGTAGGCTCCTCTTTGCAGACTCAGTTTTGGGTCTGGGGACATAATAATTTAACTCAGAATTTCTAAGATTGTGTGAATGTACATTTGAGGTGTTGGTAAAGATCCGCCTCAGATACGATGTAGTATACTAGTTTTCTAACACCTTACTAAAGATTATGGATCTTTTTTAAGAAACAAATGGCAGTTCATATTACACACCTTGCATTTATCTACCAGGTCATTATCAGAAATGATGTCTACTGAACGAGGCAGCTGTCCTGCAGGGGCTTTTTCTGGCATTTCCTGCAAGCAAAAAAAAGAGTTGAATGCCACTGCAGAAATTCAACTAGCAAAGAAGCCATTTGGACAAACCAAAGATACCAATATTTTACCTGAATTGTAAATGTTTGGTGATCCTTGTAAGTTGATAAACCATATTCAGTTTCCAGTGGGTTACCATCTTCATCCTTTAGGGCGAAAAACGTTAAGCATCTACATCAGTTATGTACATACAAAAATTTACAAGTAATAACAAAGAACATGGTCATTATTGAAGAGAAATGCACACTTTGAAATACCTTTGTAGGATAAACTGTGCTTGATGGGAAAGCATCAAGGGACGTCAGGTCAGTGTATCTACGGATCAGCGTTTTCTTCGTTTGTGGACAGTAGTGAACACTTCGAACAACTTTGGGCCTCACAAGAGAACCTGCAAATCAAAGCAAAATATATTAACAAAAAAGACATTTATTTAAGATCAGAGAGCACATTCAAGGCAGAGAGAATGTTATTAACAAGCTCACTTACATTTAGTTACAATGCCCTCCACACAGACCATGTTTCCAATAAAATGAGCTGAGAGTGTCCTGGGTGTAACATGCTTTGAGCCAAAACTAGAAAGGAATGGAAAGAAAGTTACCGAGTAAAATTTATCTAGTAAAAGAGAATATTATATAATAATTTTTCAATTTATTTTTATGAGAATTCATCAGGTGAAAAAATAAAAAACTGTTGTCAGGCCTCAGGTACCTTCCATCAAATCCAACAAAGAACTCTTCATGTTTCTTCCCATATGCTGTATCAGCAGAGCTAACAAACTCTTTTAGAGCATTCTGAGGAAAAGAAAGTTTTTAAATTGAATTAGTAATATTTTTGAATGACTAATTAAAGTAAGAAAGCCATCCCTTCTAAAAAAATTTGTGTTAGAATGAGGCACAGTGTTGTCTTAAGAAGAATTTGTTTCCATCAAACATTGCTCATAGTCCATCTAACAAGTGAGAACTACATTTCCTAAAAGCGATAATATCTGGGATGACAATAACTTAAAAGAAAACATAACTTAAAAAAAAAAACATACCTGAAATGCAATCAACTCCTCAAAAGAATTGTTTAGCAATCTGAAAAAAGAAGAAGGTAGTTTAAATACACAAATTTCTTAAAGACTGTTTAAGTTAAGTGGATTATAGTGGGTCTAACAAAAGGAACCAGTCCCTAACCTGCCACCCCCACCCCCTCCCTGAAATCAAGGATGATGCCTCTCAAAGGCAAAAATTTGCCATTTTCCATTGTTGATTTAGGGGTAGGGAGGTCTAAATTTCCCATCCCTTTTTTCCAAGACTGCAATCAAGAGGGATCTAAATTTTTCCACCTATTTTGTCCATGATTGCAATCTTGGACAGGATAAAATGGAGAAGTAAACACATCATTCCCTTCAAATGAAGGATGAAGCCTTGAGGAGGCTAAATATGCCATTTTACTGTTCTTCAAATGGGGAACTAAATTGTCCACCTATTTGGTCCAAGATTGAAGATGGTTTCTCAAACATCAGACAACCCACTGAAACCAATGCCATAGAGAGCAAGCCGCCAGTTGCAAGTCTGAGAGATATCTCCAGATATACTTACTCTGTTGCTCTTTTTTCGTTTTTCCTTCTCAAGTCATTTATATTTACAATTAGCCTGCACTCATTTTTCCCGATCATATCACGAACTTTGCCATGATAAATTCCCTGATCCTCCTGTACAAAGATATAAAAATATATCAATTTAAATTAAATATTTGCATGCTTTATAAGATTAAAAATTTAGAAAGACAATTAAATACCTTCATTAAACGAGTTCTACAGCAACTAAAAGAGTTCTTTTTTAAATAACAACCAAAAAAGTCATTTAAAATTATTTTAAAGCAGAGAATTGGCGTCGATCTTTGCAGCATTTTAATGACAGTGGACAACATAAACTTTGACAGTACTGATTCCGTTGTTCGAATTTAATACTTCCCAAACGAAAAGTGGCGTAGCGACAGGGGACAATAATATGGCAAAGTAACCATATTAGCGCGGTTTGCAGGGACGAAATATGCTAAAGTACAAATTCATGCAAATTAGTGTACAGTGAAAAATGCAGAATACAATGAACCGAATCCAATTTTCCCGGGAATCTGAACACATGTGAGTGTCCTTGAAATAGCTGTTAACTGATAATCTAACTAAGTTTTCAAAACCTAATAACGTATGAAGAGCAATACCACAAGACTGAAAGATATCAAAGAGTTTAAAAGCAGCAGCTGAATACTTGAAATGTACTCATCGACGAAAGCTAGAATGTAGAAGTACGAAGTACATGTGCCAACTCAACTCAATGTGCGATTTCATCGAAAGCAATTCAAAAATTCACTTACATCGTCATCCAGAAAGTCAAGATATTCTCTCTGAAGCTGTCGTAAGTATTGTTCGTTGTCTAAAGCCATTTTCAAGACGACAATTTCACCAAAATCGAGGACAAGAAACTTTCCGACTGATAGAAGCTTCGATGCCGCAAAGCTGTTTAACCACGTGATCAGATTTCGCGCCAAAAACTGTCCTACCATATTTGGTGATATCGTCCTAATATGGGAAATAACGAGAAAAACATCCAAGATGGCGGGCGAGAGGGTTGTTCGTGATGTTGCTGGCGTGTACTCCCGACTTTTTGACCATCGAGCTGTGTTGCAAAATGAATGTAAATTCGTCATTCGTGAATTTGAAGGAAAGAGAAACGATAGAGAGGTGTTAAAATTGGCAGAAGCTGCGGGGAAAGTCAGTGAAATCAAGGGACAAATTCCACAGTGTATTGAGCTGGCTGAACTGTTGAGGGAAGTGCAAGACCAACTGAAAGATGCGAGACAACGGTGCCACTATATTTTGGAACAAGAAGAACAGGATTTAAATAAAACAAAGAGGGAAGAAATTAAAGAGAAGACTAAAAAACAGTGGGATGAGTTCTTAAAAGAAATGGATAAGGAAGAAGAAAAAATCGAGAAAGATTTTATGACCAAGTCTTTGAAATTGAAAGAAAAATATGGAAAGGTGTCTATAAGTGCAACAGAGTAATAGCAGCAAGGAGAAGTAAGGAAAGATTGAATGAGGAATAAGAAGATCAGATTATATTTCTATTTGAAGCAAAGAGATGTATCATTTACTAAAAGAAATTTACTAAATCATTTACTAAAAGAATTTTAACACGGAATCCACCATGAGATTGAGTAATTTTAATTCTCAGTGGACAAAAACTTTGTACCAAAGTAATTTAAAGAATATTGCATTCTTTTTATTATTTTTCCAGGCCTGAAGAGTACCCTGCAAGTAGAGGTTACGTTTTTGCTTTGTGAGCTGTTGTGCGAAAATTAGCCTCTGCCGGCAACCGTTTAAGTCCATCTAGCAATGGTATCAGTGCGTTGCTTGAGTCTTGCATAGCAGATCAGAGTTGTCACAATATTTTATTCCCGCAAAACTCATACCATTTGACAACAGACCTGACAATTAATTTTGCTTGCAAATGGCGTGACGAATTTCACGCATACACAATAGAAAATTGAACGGTTGTCGGCAGAGGCTACTTTTCGCACACCAGCTCACACAGCAAAAATGTAGCCTCAGCTTGCAGGGTACCTAAAGAGGTACTTAGTCACGAATCTTTAATAACACCAAAGACTATTTCTCATGGAGCCTGAGAAAAGGAATGTCACATTTCACAAGAATTGTGAAAACAAAGGTAAAATTCTGAAAATTTCGTGTGTAAGATGTTATTTTGTGAAATTTGACTTTCCTTTTTTTGGGCTCCCATAGGAGATTTTCTTTGGTGTTATTACAGATGACTAATTACATTTTTAGCCCTTGAAAAATGTAAAAAAGAATGCAATGTGCCTTTCATTATTCTGGTACAAGGTAATAGGCCACTTGCACTAAGAGGTCACGTGACCAATGCTTCCTTTAAACAATGAGTTGGAATCTTGCTGATGCCAAAAATGGAGAGAGCACATAAAAATTATCTTACACCCGAAATTTGAGAGGAAACACATTTAAGGGAGATATTTTATGGCACTTTGATTTTTCAACAAAGCAGTATGATTTGTATTGGCCGCCATGTTGGAGGGCATACTCTTGCCCTCCAACATGGCGGCCAAAACTACTTTTGGCTTATATCTGGTTAAACGTTTGGTGGTTACGCTCAGATGTGCTGTAAACGTTACCACGTCATTTTTTCAACATCTTCCTTGAAGTTTAAGTGCAAAGCTTGTGTTCAGAAAGAAGTAATTAATAATTTTAAAAATCACATTTTGGTCACGTGACCAGTGAGGAACTTACTCATTTTAAGAAAATGGTGCGGGTTTGAAAAACCAAATCACTATTATTCTGTTTAAGATATGACCCACTAATCGTTTTTCGAAGGCAAAATCATATAGCTTTCATTTTCATGAAAATTATGTCACATCACCCCTTAGTGCAAAGGGCCTATTGTCCACTGGAAATTAAAATTACTCAATTTTCTGGTGGATTCCATCTTAATGGCTAGAATCTTTGAATCATTTTACCACTAACACTTTGTCAACAACAGAGACTATCCTGAAACAAACAATGAACAAAGCCAAATGTGAAAGTGTTAATGTTGAATGGACTATTTCAGCATTCAACATAGCATGATACTCAGTTCAAGTGTTGTTGCACAAGTACACCAAGATCAAAAATAGTAAAGACATAATTAAAAATGGGGGGTACTATAGCCAAGTTTTCTTAGGGGGATCTTGTGTGCTTTTCTTACCAAACGTATTCAGTGAGACTAGGAATTACCTCAAATTGAACACACCTTTTTGGGTTGTTTCAGTAAAAAAAAACCTTGGAAGCAACAAGATATTGTCTGTCCCAGAATGTTCCATATCGAAATTTTTTTTCCATTTCTTCAAACCCATCTTTGATTCCTATGTCAGGCTTTTGAGGTCATTTTTCAGTAACTGGGATTCCTTTGTGCAAATGATAAATGTGATTTCTGAGTGAAATTATACACCACGAAATAAGTGGTAAATACCCATGTAAATGGTAAACTACCGCAAGCTTCCATTCTTCAACACGTCCTTGATGAAAAGATAATTTTTTTTACCAGATGAAGCACAACGGGTACTTACTCCCAGGTCATTTCATCAAAAATTAACTTTATTCATGTTTCAAGCATTCCTTATAATACACCTTGTTTCCCCCCCTGAAAATTTTGCTTCAGTTTCTCTTGGGACTACTGTTATAACCAAGGAGGAATTAAAAACAAAGGTTATGCAAAGTTATGGGGGGCAACCAAGGTATCTCACAGGAAATGCACAAGTGGCAGTTGATGAAATCTGAATGTCGTTAAATGAATTGTTTAATTTGTGGAGACTGATATTGACTACAGTGAAACCTGTACTTAGAACTCAGTGAAGAAAGCTTTGGGATACTGTGGTTTGTGTCTGGTTAACATGACAGTACTTGAAAAAAGTCCTTTCAACTTGTCCAGAACAAGTAGATTTACTTGTTTGGCAGGTAATTTTGTTAGCTAACTTGCCCAGGCAGGGATCCAGACAAACAAATGCAAATAAATGACCCTGGGCAAGCAACATTTTTTTACTTTTTGTCAAAAGAACAAGCTGGAATTCAATCTTTTTTTTATCACTGCACAGGCTGCCCATTTTTTTATATGGTGTGGCTCGAAATAGTTGCAGGAGTTTGTTTTTGCAGTTTGGCAATTTTTAATGTTTTGCAGGAACTAATTTTTGCAAATTAGAACAGATTGATTTTTCTTTCCGGGAATTAATTTTTGTGATTTTTATAAAGTCCTGGTCCCAGTATTGATTTGTTGAGTATATGCAATGGAAATACATATTTTGAAACAATACTACAGTATGCTTACCCTGTGTAAAACCAGTTTTTCATTGTAGACCGTTTTGTTTCTGAACAAAAAAGGCAAGTTTTAATTGAGAAGACACGATTTCTTAGTACTGTATTTTTGGGTGGCAAATTTAGTAAATTTCCTTGGGGAAAAATGTTTGCAGTAAGTTTCGTTAGTGGGAATTATATTTGTAGATCACTGGAAAAACCGCAAAAATTAGAACCTGCAAAACATTTCATGCCACACAGTAGGTTTCAAAACATGATAACAACTGGGGCTACAAACACAAGTTTTGATAGAGTTCTTTCATTTAATGAGAGAAAGAAATACTTTTCAAAAATCCTAACTAAAAATATGCATATTTACAGTAGAAATAATCACATAAAACTACCTAGGAAGTACTAGGTTAATAAATACCAGGAGCCAGCTCCTGTAATTACATAAACTAACATGCTAAAAAAGGTATTTTACAACATTCCTAGCTCAAAAATTTTGTCAAAGGCGTCTAACTCTTTCTTTGCACTTTTTGCTTCCAACAACGTCCCTGTTGGTTTTCTGATATCTGAGATGCCGGTCAGTTCTGGTAGGTGGAGTAACAAAGAGTCCTTTACATTGATCTCTACTGGTGTGTTGTGCAGTCTCTCTAAGGCAAACTGAACAAAACATATTGCCACACTTTTGACACTGACATTGGCCCTCCGTTATTTTTGACAAGTTTGAAGGAGATGTGCATTTGGGGCATGGTCTAAGCTCATCTGAAGTTTGTCTGGAGATTGGATGGGAGTAGTAAGTCTGGGACTCTGTACTCCTCAAGGCTGTTTCATTGCTTTTGTCTTTTCTCCTCTCATGTAGTATATTGTGATTAATGCTAGCAAGTGGCACTCTCGTCAGATGATCAGGATATGCTGATTTGAAAGTGGATGGTGTACCATGATTCTCCTATGGAATGTAAAACAACGCTTAGGGTCTTTTATGAGGTGAGCCAGCGCGGTTAGAGGGGCTGGCCCGAATCATGTCTTGTTACCTCGTAAAATTTTTGTTGTGTTTATATGAGAAGGAGGGCTGGCCCCACTTGCTCAAGACAAGATTTTGGCATGCTGACCAACCCATCTCTTCATATAAACACAACAAGGAAACAAGGCATGAACCGAGCCAGCCCAGCTAACCGTGATGGCTCATAAACAAGTGAAAGTTTATATTAAGTTCACATTTTACTACAAACTTTTCCTGGGTACACTAAGGGTTATACAAAACAATAGTAAGCCAATAGGCAAGAAGATCTTGAACAAAGCAAGCAACACATAAGCTAATATATCATATCTATAAATAAGAATTGACCCCTAAATCAATTTACCTTTCCCTTTAGGGTGAAGTGTCGTTTTCTTTCATCTAAGAATCCTTTCCACCTTCGTCCATTCTGGGTGTCTTGTTTTATAACAGTTCTCCATTTTGAGCACACAGAAGCAAATCTAAACAAAACATTTTAGAAAAAAACTTCTGAAGTTTTTTAAATATATAGCCACAAGATTTCATAATTAACAAAGAACGTCAAGATGCAAAGCAGAAAGGGGCAATTGGCTCAAATATTAGATCAGAATTTTAAAATTCTTGAAATCATCTTCTGGAATTCCGATAAGCTTAGAGGAAACGACTTCAGCCATTCAAAACAAGTTGACTTGTAGCTGCTTATGTGCTTGGAAACAACGAGGGTGAGCTTGATCGATTGAAAGGTTAATTTTAAGAGTCGCAGAGACAATCACTCAAAAATCCGGGGAGCATGGAAACTCGGTAAAAGTAAACTTCGATCAGCACTCATCCCGAACGTTGCCGAGATTTCGAGATGAGATGAAAAGAATTTTTATTAAATTATGCATTCACGTTTGATTGATGATCGCACGCAAACAACAGCTACGTCTGTGTATGCGCCGGCATACAGAACGCAATCAACGTACCTGCACAGATCTTGAGGATCCAAATAAGAGCAGATTTTTTGACAAATCTTTTGGCAATTAATGGACTTGAGATCCGAGATAAAGTCTATTTTTTCCTCCCCAATCAATCTTCCAATGATTCTGTCCTCTGGTAGCAAAGGCGAACGATGGAGCCCTTTTCGAACTGATTTCTCTGGATCGACGTCTTCAAGCTCCAAATCGAGCTTAGGCAATCCTTGAAGATCAATCGCAAGTAAAGAAGTAGGTCTTAGAACCTTTTCTTGGGAACACGGTGGAGTCAGGAAACAAGACGCATATGATGGAGACGCTTCGATAGATGGAGTTGTGCGACCGAAATGCTGATTTCCTGGAGTCTCTGGTGACATAAAAGAGCTTGGTAGCTCCGATCGATCGTATTTTTCTCTGGGATTTTCACCAGTTTGCTGCATTGCTGCTATTTTATCGTAAATTTGATAAGACTTCATCCGATTCAATTTTTTCTTGAACTGACGACTGACGCTGCTTGAAGACGTTTTGATTCAAGCGCCAAAGGTTGTCCTAAGGCGTCAGCCAATCATCTCTCGAGGTTCCACCAATGAGAGGCGAGCGGTTTTCTTCGCGCCAAATTGCATTTTGGATAAGGATACCGCTGGTAGAGATGCTTTATTCGGCCCACACGTGTCGTAGAACCCTGAGCGCTTTCCATTCAACAACTCCCCTCGTTTTTTTTTCTTCGTGAATTTTTCCCCCGCGCTCTTCTATCTGAACGCCTGGAACAGGTTAAAATTGAAAAAGTCAAATGGAACGGTACATTCCGGTTGCACAGACCCAACGTTTGGTTATTGTTCTTGTTAGTAGGATACAAAAGATCGGGGATAAACTGATTCAGTATCAAAATGGAAAGGTGACATTTTCGGTCCGACCTACCGAAATGACCGGCCCGTTCAAAGTGGACCACCTTCAAAGCTGGTCCCGAATATTTCGGTAGGACCAAACCGAAAGGTCCGTTCCATCTGATGTACCGATCGAAATTTCCGGAATTTTAGGTTGAATGGAAAGCGCTCGGTAACTCGAACTCTGAGGGGTAACGAGGAAGAGGTCGAGTTCTCATCACTTCAGTTTATGGTGCAGTGCAAATTTACTTATTTCATCAGAATCGGTAACATGATTAGGCATTTTTATGATGAAACGTGATCTGTTCGTTTCATAGCCTGTTCCAGGCAAATGGTAGAGCGCGGAAGAAAAATTCACAAAGAACTCGCTCCACACTAGTTCGAGTTAGCGGGGAGATCGAGTTATCGGGGTTCTACTCCGATTCTACTGTATATGCAGATATCACTGTCAGACTGCGAACTATCCCTTATTTTTCTTTTGAGTCATCAGTAGAGCGAGAGAAATATTTTCAGTTTCCACCGGCGTCGGTCGTGGCTCAGAGGAAAGAAAGACGACCGCTCGAGGTCGATATATCTGTTTTTTTTCTCCTGCTAACCTACTGATCCACACTATCTGAGCGCCAGAGAATGAGGCGATGAAGCTTATGTAAATCAATTACCGGGATCGTAAACTGCACTGCCTTTCAGTCCTTCTAGGTACGTCGGTTTACACAAAAAAGATTTCACGATCATGAAATCCCTGAAATCACGTCATCAACAGAGTTTCTTTTGTACCTTCTTGGTCTCACTACCTTTGTTATTCTTTGTCCAAAGCCGTTTTGAGTGAAATCGACTTAAGAACTCTCCCAAGTTTTCCGCAAAATCCCACAGCGAACAGAAGCACCCAACCGCTATTTTCTGTAAAATATCTGTTCGGAGAAGCAAGTATAATGACCGTTCCATTCGTGTAATATTTTCGAAGCTTATTTACATGTAAAAAATTCCCTACGATTTTCTGAAGTTAATTTTTCATATTTCACACCGCCCCAGTTAGGCTATTTTTTGAACAAAAAAGGGTACCTAAAACTTTCGGATTCAAAAATGTAATGGAGAGGGGAATCAACCTCGTCCCCAGGGCTTTTCCCTTGAAAAATGGGTGGGGCAGGAAAAGGCGGGTTCCCGCCCCACCCATTTTTTAAGGGAAAAGCCCTGGGGACGAGGTTGGAGGGGAATCAGAAAAATTCCCACTTTCGTAATAAGTTGAATTGCAAAAAGACTCAGGTTCCCCTGGGATGACCAAACAGGTACAAATTTTATAGCGCCGCTTAGAGTATCCAGAGCACTTTAAGATCTCTAGAAACGCAACCTTAAAAGTATTTTCAAGGTATAGGCCATGTAATTGCACCAGGAGGTGACGTGACCAATGCTTCCTTTAAATGATGCGTTGGAATCTTGCCGATGCCAAAAATTGACAGAGCACATAGAAATTATCTTACTCCCGAAACTTGAGTGGAAACGCATTTATTTAAGGGAGATATTTTATAGCTTTTTGATTTTTCGACTAAGTAGTATGATTTGTATTGGCCGCCATGTTGGAGGGCATACTCTTGCCCTCCAACATGGCGGCAAAAACTAGTTACTAAACGTTTGGTAGTTACGCTCAGATGTGCTGTAAACGTTACCACATCATCTTTTCAAAATTTTCCTTGAAGTTTAAGTGCATGCAAAATTTGTGTTCAGAAAGAGGTAATTCATAAGTTTAAAAATCACATTTTGGTCACGTTACCGGCTGTTAAGAAAATGGTACCAACTGGAGAGACAGAGAGAGAGACGACTGGGGACGAGTCAGGGGGTAATCGGCCTGGCCTGGGTAAGTTCATCTAATTCGGGATCCAGTCAGAGAAACAATCGATTAAACGGGCCCCTGATTGAAAGCCTCCTAGATAAAAATCAAACAGTCATTCTTGGACTGATCCTAAGGACTGAGGTATCTGTTATTGGGATCGGAGACTAGGTAGAGTGTAAGCGGGAGGGAGTCACTGGACACCCAGTTGTGACGAGGAGAAATCTGCTAAAAACAGTAAAAACGACCCATAAAAATACAGCCATTAGCATTCGCTCAGGGGCACCCAACGACGTACAGTTTCCTCATAAATAGGCCATTTGCACTAAGAGGTTACGTGACATCATTTTTATGAAAATTTAGCAAAAACGATTAGTGGGTCATATCTTAAACAAAATAACGCTGATTTGGTTTTTCAAACCCGCACCCCTTGCTCGCACCGCTCGCGTTACGGGAAGACTACTGGAGACGAGTAAGGATTCAGTCTCGTTTACCTTAGGGAAGGGAATTAAAAAAAAAAAAAAAGAAAAAAAGGAGCCAGGAAGCACTCAAAGAAAAAAAGCAGTCCGAAAAGGGCGACTGGAGATATGGCATCCGCTCCAAAAAATAAATCAATCAACAATAATAGCAATAATAATAATGGTTTTACTTTTTTAAAATTTATTTTCAATTCTTGAAGAGGTCATTTCGGAAAATGTAATCTGGTAGTTTGTGGCAGTCCGTCAGGATTGTTGAGTGGGCAAGTGTGTTATACGTGCGAGCGAAAGAAAAATATCACAAAGGCCCGCTACAGCACCTTGTTTGCGCCCCACAATTTTGCACCTTCGTTTTTAAAATTTCTTCTGGGAATTACATAGTCAAAACAGTCGACTGAATGGCTTTGCGCACATACCACGTCTGAGTGACTAAAATTCATGTTTGCATATCTGGCTTGTTTCTTTCTCCCTTTTTAAAAATTACGTTGTAGCTCAGCGATTTTTAACTTCTACACAGATTCTTTTTCTTAGCAACCAACAGCCTAGACCCCGTGTTGTTGACTGGTGATCCGTCGACTGCTGGTGTAACGATAGCCTGTGTACAGCCGCTCCCTCCCCGATTGTTTTTAAGGAGAGGGGGCCAAATACGGCCACTCGTTCCAAATTTAGAAAATTAAAATGCCCGTGACGTGTTGTCCTAGTAATCTGAGGTTATTCTTGTACTGTTATTGGACTACAGTACACCTAAAATACACTTGTGGCGATTTATAGCCGAATTTTAAAAGAGTTTGTACTAAAGGAAAATCTTAAGTAACACCAAAAGCTTTATTTGCATGACCATAAAGGAATTACAGTATTGCAAAAGCTATTAGTCTAAATTTAAGTACTAATTCAACTAATTAGTACGTGCAAAACATTACAAAACGTTACAGTTCTCATTCATTCATTCATTCATTGATATTAATTTGGTTCTTAATTCAAAGCATTGCGAGATAAATGAAACTAATTGACAGTTAATTAAATAATCAGAGGAATTCATAAGAAGAGATATTAAAGTATCGCGTGAAAGTGATTTGAAGTCAGGTATTTTAGTTTCTAGTTTGGAGAAAAATATGTCTCTGATCTGAGAATAAGCCTTACAATCTAGTAAGAAATGATTTTCATCTTCGATTTTGTTACTTGTACAAAAGTGACATATCCTTTCATTGCGAGGAATGTTTTCGTATCTACCTGTTTCAATTCTAAGTTGATGACTACTTATTCTAAATCTAACTAATGCTTTTCTCGAAGGGTTTTTTCTTGTTAAAACTAGGTACGGCGAGGGGCTATAGTCGTCTTTGATTGTACAATAAAAACTGAGTTTTTGTGATTGTTGAAGGGTCTGATTCCAGTAAGAGACGTATTTATTTTTCATTATGCCGATATACCTATTAACTATTGAGTCACTCAATGAATTACAGGAAAAGTCATAGTTTAGATCATAGTAGTCAACCATTTTCATGAGATTAGAGTAAAAGCTAGTTTTTCCGTTATGATGAAGGTCAATTGAAATTTGTAAGGCCTGTTTAACTATAGAATCTTCATCTTTACCTCTCAGATAGTCTAAGTAATTTAGAATCTTTTTATTTATATCAATGATCATGGGAAATTTACCGAGTTCAGCTCTACAAGCAATGTTGGATGCCTTGTTATGTACTTGTAAATAACGTTTACAGAATTGCAAATGGGTTTTTTCAATTGCAGAGCTGTCCCAGGACTTAAAATCTGATTTAACAAAAGCACCCCAAACTTCACTGTTGTAGGTTAGAATTGGTGAAATCATAGAGTCAAAAATTTTACACGCAAGTGAGGGCTTAAGATTATTCAAATCCGTGTGCCGCCTGAGGCTGAAGAGCGCGTGAAGAGCTTTTTGTCGGAGATGTTCAAGCGAAAGTGTAAAATTTCCGGAAGATGTAATGCGAGTTCCTAAGTAAGTATAGTTTTGGACAACGTCGATTACTTCATTGCCTATGCGGAAGTTATGTTCACATTTTCGTGTGCATCGTTGAAAAATCATTATTTTGGTTTTCTTAGGATTTATTCTAAGCATCCATGAGTTGCAATATGAAGATAGTACGTTAAGGCAGTTTTGTAGACCAAGTTTGGATCGCGATAATATTATCAAGTCATCTGCGTAAAGGAGAGAGTTGAGTCTGGTGCCATTTGGTAACACGAAGGGGTCTGATAAAACATTGTCAAATGAGAACGCTAGATCGTTAAGGTATAAGTTAAAGAGCAGAGGGCTTAAAATGCAGCCTTGCCGCACTCCTCTTGCGTATTGAAAAGATCGTGTTTTGTTATTTCCAATCCTGACAGAGCAGGTAGACTTCGAGTATAGACTCTTAATTAGACTATAAAACTTTCCTTGGACATTGATCTTAGATAACTTATAGAGAAGCCCATCATGCCAAACCGAATCAAAGGCTTTCCTAAAGTCAACAAAACACGCATATATTTTCTCCTTGTGACAATGGACATATTTGTCTATTAATGTTCGAAGTGTGAGGACATGATCTGCTGTTCTATTATTTGCCAGAAAACCAATTTGAGACTTGTGAAGTATATTATTTAAGTCAACGTGCTTTAGAAGTCTCTGATTGAGAATTGAACAAAATAGTTTTCCAATACAACTGGAAATACAAATTCCACGGTAGTTTGATGGATCGCTTTTAGTACCACATTTAAAAATTGGTGTAATGAGGCCATCACACCACATTTGGGGCATAGTTCCTAAGTCGAGGACCGTGTTAAATAGTTTTAGATAAACAGGCATTAATTCGTTTAGGCTAGATTTGATCATTTCGTTTTTGATTTTGTCTGAAAAAGAAGATTTGTTGTTTTTGAGTTTTCCAGCTGCAGTGCGAATTTCACTTTCAGTGATGAGGTAATCCAAGGAGTGAGATCGTGTCGTAATATCCTTTGAATTCTGCAACTCATCTATAATTGTCTCCTGCTGTTAATTAAGGGGTTCATTCGAGTGCAAAGATTGAAAGTGGGACATCCATTTTTCTTCCGAAATTGGAGGGGTGTAGGTTTCCTTCATAGTGTCGTCCATTGACTTCAAACAGTTCCAAAAGCTCTTACTATTCGAATTTTCGACCGTATTTTCAAGTTCACAGATCTTATTGCTATAGTATTCGTTTCTCTTATGTTTCAAAAGGTTTTATATTGTTTTAAGACGTTGTGAAACTCTTCCCTGAGGGTATTGTTTAGAGGATCTCTATGTTTTTGATTAGAAAGTTTCCGCAGTTCATGTCTTTTATAGCGGCATTCTTTGTCGAACCATGTTTTGTTCGAAGATATTTTGCAACGTCGCTTTTTTGCTGTTTTGATCTTCAAACAGCGTTTGGCGGTTGAAATAAGAATATTTTCTACAGCATGAAGGTTCATGTCAACATTACTCGTGATTGTTGTAGTATTTATAAAATCGTGGATCATTCTTTGAATGTCTTCAGACTGTAATGTAGCTCTAAATTTTTGTGACGAATCGTTTTCCCAAAAGAACTGTTTTGGTAGAGGAGTCAAAGAATCATTTATAATTGCCTCGTTTGATGAATCATTATCTAAATGACGGTTAACCTTAAGCCATGTTATTATCGGACTAAGAAGTTTTATCAATTACCGTACACGATATCTACATTCCGGTTTTTTATTAATGAGAACAGTACGGTGAATGTGATGTACGGTGTATCTGTCATTACGGCCCTTAAGTCATGATATTTGAGCCTGCCCCGGTAATACGGCCACCCCGTTAATGCGCCCAATTCTTTTTGGCCCATTAGTGACCGTATTAACGGGGTTCCACTGTAATCGGGTTTCGCTGTAATCCCTGTTCAAATACCGTAAACGGCCGCTTATAAACCCCGAGTTTTCGAAACAAGCTATAGCAGTGCTGATTAAAATACGTTTTGTACTTAGTTGTTTAGGTCAAGCTTTAACGTCATTATATAAAATCAAATTCATTTCGATACATTAGTTTCGGGGGACTAATAATCAAATATTTTTTTGTTTGCAGGCGGATGGGCCTATTACCGCCGTATTACTGGGAGGGAGGTTATAGTTTACGATACGTTTTTTTTTTCGCAAGTAATAAAAAATCGACTTTTTTTTTTACAGAATGATGAAAAAATCAACTTTATTTGTATCATTCTGAAATAACTCGTCAAATCCATGTTCAAATTAACAGAAAGGTTGTGCAAAAGACTTGATCCGGTAAAAGTGAACCTTGAGTGACACAGGCCACGTGTTAGTTCTTCATGGAGTCTGCCTTCTCCTTAGCGTTGTGGGCCTTCAGTACAGACACAGCTTCCTCGGTTTTGGCTTGCAAGGCCTCGCGTGACTCCAGCATGTGAAGCAGCTCAGCATTGTCAATCTCCAACAGCATACCAGTGATCTTGCCAGCCTGGTGCGGGTGGGTGGATTGGATCAAGGGGAACAGACGCTCACCTAGCATTTGTTTCTGCTCAGAATGAGTGGCTGCAGCAAGGACACTGGGATCGAGTGGTTCTTGTCCCTAGAAAGACAAACAGAGGTCTTCAGAATGTGGTTCCTTCTGCAGCTATCCAGTTTAGGAAAAACAACAAACAAAGGAACGCAAAACACTCTCCCTACGAGATTTTATCACTCAGTTCTTTTGCCAAGAAAGTAAACAAGGAAAAGAAGGACCCCAAAATGCACGGTTAGCTTCATAAGTTGACCTGCTGAAATCAGATCTAATCAGGATCTATAACCTAGTAAATTGCCAGCAGGTGGTTGTCAGAAAGTTTGTAAGTATGCAGACTTTATGTTGACATAGGTGGTGAATCGATTTAAATGTTCTTAACACATAGCCAGTATTAACGTCTTATTGATGCTGACAGTTTCGATGACTGTCAGCCATCTTTATCAAAACTTGAAAAACATTAGAAGTGTTAGAAGCCTTAAATAGGCTTCTGAAGGTGTTAATTATTAAGGATAGGTGGTGAATTTTGGCAACTTTTACTAAAGAAACAGAGGAACAGTCCAACAGAGCAGCCAGCCAAAAACACCAAGCGCATGTAGGTGGTGATTTCTGCCAGCCTCCAGCTACTTTTGATGACCTGGCAATTCATTAAGTGATTTTTATCGTCTTAAATTGTGTTTTGTTACTGTACTTTACATGTTCCTTGCCATGTTTCAAATACAGCTCTTCTTAATTATTTTTCTCCTCTCTTACCATTAAGGACCCAGTTCCTAAAAAGCTGATTTTGGCTTAACTGCATAACATTCTTCCTGTTCTTACCGGTATGGTAATAGGCTGCTGAACACGTTCTTGGTTCTGCATGGGCACTGCTCCTGGATGTGTCTGTGGTTGGTTACGGACATTCTGCTGAAACTTGTACGCTGGCCTTGGTGGCTGGCCTTGCATTGCTCCAAGACCACGCACTGGTTGTCCCTGAGCCATACCTCCAACACGTTGGCCTGGTCCTCCCGCCCCAGGCTGCTGCTGCTGGCCAGGCACTCCCCTGGGAGGTACCTGACGGATGCCTCTTGCTCTTGGAACCTGCCCACCGCCTGGCATTTGCATTCCAGAAGGTCGCATCTGCTGCTGTTGTTGCATAGGCTGCCAACGAGGACGCATCTGCTGCATTTGGGGTGTAAAGAATGGACGTTGGCTAGCCTAGGAAGGACAAGAAACAAGCCTTTTTAANTGCTGCTGGCCAGGCACTCCCCTGGGAGGTACCTGACGGATGCCTCTTGCTCTTGGAACCTGCCCACCGCCTGGCATTTGCATTCCAGAAGGTCGCATCTGCTGCTGTTGTTGCATAGGCTGCCAACGAGGACGCATCTGCTGCATTTGGGGTGTAAAGAATGGACGTTGGCTAGCCTAGGAAGGACAAGAAACAAGCCTTTTTAACACAACAAAACCACTATTGACCCTGGTTTAAATACTAAGTACACTTTCAAACAGCACTATTCGACTTGAGATAGTCCAAAGGTGAAGTTTCATGGCATATCTACTTAAAACCAAATGACAAGGATTATTTGGCAAAATTAATAAATGTCAACATGTGACGGAAAGATAGCTTAAGATGAAGGCGAAACAGACCAATAAGGATAAAATTCATGTGTACAGTAGTTTTAGGCAGTTTTGTTGGCCTGTTCCTGTGTTTCTAGTGCTGTAGTTATGTACAGCTCTGAACTGAGAAAACAACTTCGTACACAAATGTTTATTACATTGTCATATCCGGAAATACTGGGCATTGAAAATTAATCATTAACTATACCTCGATACAATAAACATTTTGCTTGTTTTCCCCAAAATTTGTTAAATCAAGGTTTTCGATATGACAAACACATTTCCCCAGTCCCTTGGCACTTTGTTAAATCAAGGTTCCACTTTACCTACAACAGGTGAGGAAATTTAAAACCCAAAGTTTACTTTTTCATTTTACCTGGGCCAATGGCTGCATATAAAATGCTCCTGCTTGAGGGAATACTTGATTAACTTGTTGCCCAGCTGCCTAAAATTAAGGAGATACAAACACGCTTCATTAACTCTACATAACAATATTACTGTGCACAAGACTTTCTCACACTCCCAATATTCTGGTCAGTATCTAAGATAAATTTGTAACAACACCTTTCATGATTTTTGCACTGTCTCATTCAAAAAAAATTATTTAAAAAAGTATAATGATGAGACATTTTATCTTGCTCTTCTACATGTTCAGACATGAAAGCCCTCAAAAAGTCCTCAAAGTCATGTGACATCTGAGACATGCATGTACTTTGATGATCATTATACATGGTGATCAGTATAGTCACCTTCCTTTAGTAAGCCATGCTGCAATGCATAAGCAATGCAGTCTTAAAACTTAAATACACAAAAATTAATGTTCCTGCAGCCATACTAATAGAGTGCTATACGGGGAAGCAATCTACTGCATAATTGCACAGGACAAATGTCTGCCCAAATACCAACTGTGGACAGCCAATACCAAGCAAAGCACCACAGGAACCGCAGGGCAGTATAGGACACAACACAATTTTAGAGACGTCTTGCACAGTATTCACACAAAAAATTGCGACCATTTTTAAAGGTCTTTTCAACGACCACCTACCAGGAATGTTATTTCACAGATTGTACAAAACTGCACATTCCCAGTCCATTTTAACAGAACTTTAAGGCTTGAAACTGTTTGTTTAACCAACTTCCCTCCTTTTTTCAGTTCACTTGACTTAAATTGATAGCTAATTATTGCATACAATAAAAAAAAGCTTAAACTTGTTAACTTCTCATTAACTTCTCTGAGCTATGATTTATATTCCGCCTTGGACAACCAAAAAGCATCTAAAAACACTTTCCAGGCCGCTACATTCAAAGTTGAAGAAAATTCAAGGACTTCCACAGAATCTGAAGGACTTTTCAAGGAAAAATGGAATTCAAGGAATTTTCAAGGACTTACCCTAAAATTCAAGGACTTTTCAAGGCTATGAGCACCCTGCTTGTACAATGACGTTATCTCTTTAACTATGGAAAAACCTTTTATCCAAGATAGTGGTAAGCAAGGCAGTGCTCTAGCAGTGCCCAGTGGCCCAGGTCAACTAGAAAATCTTAGTTATTTCACAGAAACCAGTTGCTGGGCACCATGGCTTTTACAGGTTCAGAGCCCTTGGTGTTCCGTCAAATTTTCTTAAAGCACAGCCTTGGTGGTAACCATCCAATAGCAGGCACTGCAGTTTCATTTGTGAAAGTACCAATAAATAATTAAAGTACCTGCTGCATTCTCATGCCAGCGATACGCTGCATGTGTTGAGCTGCCAACTGAGCCTTGCGCTCCTCCTTACGCTGAGCCAATGCAACATATAATGGTTTTGACACCAAAATCCTGCCATTCATTTCTGTAACAGCTTTAGTAGCCTCTTCAGGTGATGAGTAGCAAACAAAACCAAACCCTGCAAGAAAACAATAAGAAAAGAGGTTGAGTTCTTAATCTGTTTAGGTAAAGCCACTTTTAACTTCTATCACTTGTCTGCACCTTACGAAAATTTTCTAGCTCCTATGTTTAAGTTAGTGGTCATTCAAGGCTGTGCTGTAACGGCGCCCGGTCGCCTGAGGCGACTAACATTTAGCTTCGGGCGACTGAAAAAAAGTTCCCGGTCGCCCGGCCGGGCACTCTTGCTTCTGATGCAGTGTTCAGTTAAGCAGGAAGAAAAATTTAACATACTGGTGTTGGCTTGTTGAGTCAGAGTTAAGCTAAACCCTACAGAAAATGTTTTTACGAATGTTGTACGAGAGAAACTGGCGCACGTCGATGTCGTTCTGCATGATTTCACACGTAACATAATCCATCACTTTAAACGTGACAAGCAGCGAGGATTTCGATTTGTACCGCTGCTTAAAATAGTTTTAAAATTTTTTCTTTCAGATAGAATGGTTCATTAGGTACAGTTTTTAGGAGAAACTGTCAATACTTTTCTGACAGACGTAAAGCGCGGCAGGCGACGCGGAGTAATTTATTTTTGTAGAAAACGGAAGTTGCTGTATTGACCAGTATGCAAATATAATGTTTTTACGGTTTTTGGCTGCTCTCAGTCTGCTTGGCTAAAACATAACTTATGATTGTTTTCTTCCCTTTACATAAGATAACGAAATACAAAAAGAAAAGATATGATCGTTCTGATCGTTTTTATTGCTGTTTTAGAAACAGGGTAGTTCCACGTTGTCTTGGCATTTTACGTATCAAAAACTAAATTCGCATGCAGGATAAATTTAGCGGCCAAAAAAATGAAATAAAAAGACAGAAAGAAGAGCTGGTTTACGCTTCGACCGTATCCACGAAAAGCTCAATTATCCTAAAAGATTCAGTCATAATATAGAAAAGAAAATTAAATATGACTTATTTTTTATTAAAACAATAGGTTTGGGGCCGTGGCGGTTTCACTGTTTCACGGTATTTTTCACGGGAACTTGAGTTCGATCAACCTCGTATAAAACTCCGTCACATTATATTTCATGCCGCATTGATTCACCTTTTGAAAATTTATTTTCAAGTTTAGTATTACTGGTAAAAAGCACAGTTTTTCTATGTTTGACCCAAAGATCTTAATGAAGTTTACGTAAACCTGCTGAAATTTTTTACTTTTCTCTCTTTAAAACCTAAACAATTCGGCGGCATTGCTCACGTTTCTGGTTTTAAATCTGAATGGCACGAAAACTTTGATGGGTTTCATAAGACAACAAGCGGGTTTTTGTCGAACCCAAAAGCTAAAATTACCGAGTTTGGTGATCAGCAGACGAGTAAGATTCCCGTTTGTTCAAAATACTTCCTCATCAGATGTACTCGGGTGACCAACTTGAGAGGCCTGGGCACCCCAGCTGGAATGCTTGGGAGCTCAAGGGCTCCCCGAAATTTTTATTCGGGCGACCAACTTTGAGGTCTGGGCGACTTAAATAAAATGCTTGGAAGCCCAAAGGGCTCCCTGAAATTTTCCTTAGAGCACAGCCTTGTCATTGCATGGAAATTGTCATTTACAGGACTAAAGGAAGTCTAAAATAGACGATGTAATCCACGGACAATATTTTTTGTTACACACAACTGCCATCAGCAAAAAAGCTCTGCGGTGAATTGTACCAATGTTAGAGCTGAACACAAAAGAAGCATGTACATGATGCATGCATCAATCTCAGGATATTGAAGCAACATGCAATAAGTCGTAAGGGTTAGAGTATATTTTGAAATCTGAAGTACTCACGACAGTGCTCCTAAAAACATGTAATTCCAACTTGTCCTATGGGCAAGCAGCTCTCACATTTTGCTTGCCTGGAACCACTTCTTTCACATCTTAATGATTTTGTTAGAGGATGATTTGCTTGGACTATTGACCATTGGACAAGAAAGCTTTAAGTTACTTGCCAAACAAGAAAATCTACTTGTTTCGGACTAACAGATGGGACTTTTTTCGAGCCCTGCCACAATCCATCAAGCTTCAAGTTCTTTAGTCTCCTTTGCAGCCATTTTTAGGCTCGTAACGAGGAGGAGTGTTGCGTGATGAGCCTAAAAACGGCTGTGAAGGAGAGTACAAGTTCTTTGTCTAGTGAACTTATCAAGTTTATCACTGCCCAGGATAAGACTGGTTTTAAAATTCAAACAGCCAGTACACTACCTTTAGAATTCTCCTTGTCATCCATCATGACTTTAGCACTAGTGATGGTCCCATATTGACTGAACTGCTCACGCAGATACGCATCATCAACAGTATCATCCAGGTTCTTGACATACAAGTTTACACCTTGGTAACGGTTGATACGCTCAATCTTCCTCTTCTCAAACTGTTGCTTCAGGTCCATTTGCCTCTCAGCTTTCTTCTGAGCCCTGGCAGCATACAGCTTTTGACCGTTCCATTCCTTTCCAGTAAGCTCGTCAACAGCCTTTGAATTTACCAAAATAAACATGCAATTCATATAGTGTTTTACAACATGCAAATTACCATAATAAAAATTATCCCTCCCACCTGCATCCCTCCCCCTAAAAAGTTAAGCTCTGCAATCAAGCCTCCAAACAAGGGTCACCTAAGGAACAGACCTAACAGATCATTGCTGGAAGGTGGCTGTTGTTAAGACATAAGGGAGCTTTTCCAACCTTGCCACATTTATTGCAATTCACTGATAATGTCAAAAGTAGGCAAATTTCCCTGGAGTTGATTTCTTGGGGACTGCACTCAAGACAAGAAAGAGAAAGAAAAATTTATCTTCACTTTTTTAAGTCCTCCATAAAATGTGAAACTAGGCACTTTCACGTCGTGGTTATGCAGTGATGACAAAGAAATGTACAAAAAAGTGTGATGCGCATCCAAAGTTTTCTATTTGCTAATGAAACATTGCTTTTTTGCTGTTCTCATAGTCATCTCCATCACCATTGCTAAAGCTCCCTATAAGCACAAGGGCGAATTGCTGGTTTGCACGTGACGTCACGGCGGCCATGTTGGTGGTCAAGAACAAAAGCATTTCTCTCCTCTGGGAACTAAACTCTATTTTCATGTAAATTCTTAGAGAAAAAATTCTTTTGTATTGACCCCCAACATGGCTGCCATGTCACGTGTTTGCAAACCAAGAATACATCTACTGGGTCAAAAAAAAGGGACCTTGTGGTGAGGTGGCCATTGGTGGAGGTTTGACTGAACTTTAAAAGTCTTTGCATGCATTCTTAACCACCATCTTAATTATCAAAAAAGTCATAAAAATGGAATGACCAAAATTTCTCCATCAGTATCACAAGCAAGGCGAGCAGGATAGAGTAATGTACTGTTCAAAAGTAAGTCGATACTCTTTTTTCGATTAGTCCGTATTTAGGAAGCTTTGACAGGATATTTGTCTGTTTAACAGTTTTTAAGTAGTAAGTAGGTGCAAGTTGTGACACATCAGCACAGTGCAGAGTTCTCGTTAAGTGCCTGCAACCGGATAACAAACTGGCTGCTTCGAGGTCTGACCCTCTTTTGGGAGAAATGGGTTAAGTGAGGGAGTGAAAGCCTCAGCTTGCCTACACCACTTGATTACCAAGACACCTACTTTTACATCCTAGCTGTCTACTTAAAAACTAGATGAGAACCCTGACACTCATTACCTTTTGAGCTTCTTCGGGAGTCTCAAAAGAAACAAATCCAAACCCTTTTGAACGCCCACCATCACTTGTTACCACCTTCAAACTCAGAACTTTTCCCAAGTTGTCCACAAGCTCTTTAAACCTAGCTTCATCCATGTCTTCACCAAAGTTCTTGACATACACGTTGGTAAACTTTTTTATTTGGTTTCCAAGCTTCTCTTGACGTTCTCTGCGGGACATCCACTTGGTGGCATAGCTAAAAGCAGATGAAAATAGAAAATAGGAGCATGAATTAAAGGGGCTTTTTACTCACAGACTGCCTACAATGGAGTAGTCTACCAATAATACTTGGTTCTGTTCTTCTCGAAGTTGCAGTGATTCAGCACAATGAAACAATTCTGCACAATCAATGTTTGTTTCCCTAAGATCAAAACAAAGACGTAAAAAAAGCATCTCTTTTGTTCTGTCAGCATCTAAATAATATTGTAAGACAGTAGAGTGAGACAAGTCTCACTGTTAATGATTTGAAACAGTCTTGGTCTTTATCTTTGGTCTAGAGTCTTCTGTAGGTCGTTTATAAAATACAACTTACATTTATTTTGTTGACTATGAACATGAAAACAAATCTGCTGGCAAGACCCTTGATGATCACTTTGTAATTCAAGTTGTAAGAACATTGTTTGGATTATGAAAAACATTTGGGTTGAATACTCCTTGTTCTTCAAGCCAAGTACGTGAAATGCTACTTTGTGTTAAAGTTGTCACAGACAAAGATTTCAAGTCAATGAAACGGAAATGCACCCTTCAGATCTTGATACCGGTGAGTAAAACAAAAATCACAGCAAGGAATTGAAAGAGCCCTGTTTGCAGCACGTGATGTTCTTCCTAATCGACCGACATTTTGATCGCGTGCCTGTTATACAGCGCTGCAACAACACAAGTAGATTTCGGGAATTTTCATGACGAAGCGAGTAGCTCTAGTTTCTCTTTAGATTTCAAAATATCCTCTAGCTGTTTTAGACCTGATCTTTGAGCAGTCAGTAGAACAATCACCAGGACAATGGCATTGCCATCCTCGCCAAAACTGTCAAAAGTAATAAAGCCAGCTCAAAAGTCAAACTTCCCCCAGGTCTGGTTAAAGCAGACACATTATGAACGTATTATGCTTTGATTGTTCCCTCTGTCTGTCGCCACAAGAGCATCTGCTTTCGCAATGGACAAGTCACGTTTTAATGTGCTTAATTATTTGTGTGTGACAACTTTAACCCCAAGGGTCCCAACGAGCTACTTTGATTGGTATAAGTGCAGCGACCCGTTTTTGGGTCGCTAAAACTGGCACCAATAAAGTATGAAAAGTCCTTTATCCTGCGCCATATTAAATCCGACAAAGGACTTTTTTGAAAGTCTACGCAACAACTTGCATCGAAACAACTTTGCATCATCAACATCATGCAGGGAAAACTAAATCCTCAAAGATAACTTAGAAAAAAAAGAAGTTTCAGCGGGCAGGTCACGAGAGTGGATGATGTTGATATTACTGTACACATTGGTTCACTAAAACCGCCCACCTGTAGAATTAAACAGTAGGCTAAGCTGGTGTTACTGGTAAAAAAAACCCTGTATACCTAAAGGCAGTCTGACTAAGAAGGATTGCTGAAGAGATGTCGGAGATCAATTTGCTACGTGTTGCAATAATTGGTACACAAAAGAAATTTTACGCACTAACAACACCATTTGATCTTGAAAATGTAAAGAATTCTTATCGAAAACACCAATCCAAACAAAGAGAGAGAAACCACATCCAAACTAAAGTCGAGACCTAAACAAACTTTATCGAAGCCGTGTTTCCAGATTTCGCAATTACTGTACGCCAAAATATGCGAGCATTTTTTACCAGGATAAAAAAATCTCGGACATGATAAAACCCTGAGAGGTGAAAACCATGCGTCACGGGTCATTCATGATAAGAACGTTTAATACCAATACCGAATATTTCATGATCTGCCACTGAAAATGAAACTCGAGGAGTAAAAACACAAAAAATCCTTGTGATTCGGATTTTCTCTAAGTAAAGGAAAAAAATTTCGACTTACACTTTTTTGTCATTCAACAACATGCCGTTGACTTTAGCAATAGCATCTTCGGCCGCTTCCTCAGTGTCGAAGTGAACGAAACCATATCCTTTCGAGTTGCCATCCTCTGCTTGAGCAATCTTACAAGAGAGGATGTTTCCGAAGGCACTGAAGGTATCGTACAGGGCTTTGTTGTCAATACTTTTGTCTAGATTCTTGATAAAAATGTTACCCACGCCAGATTTGCGAAGAGAAGGGTCCCTCTGCGACCACATAATACGACATGGTCTTCCTTTGATCGGGTCAAAATTCATCGTGTCCAGCGCTCTTTCCGCTATAAGGAATTTTAAAACCGAGAAAGAAACGAATTAAGATACATATTGTTCAAGCTAAGACCTGAAATCACATTTTAAAAAGCTAACGAAGCTTCGTAAATTCCTTACCGGCAGCGGGTTGTTGAAAGTTCACGTAAGCATAGCCCAGCGAACGACGAGTGACTATATCGCGGCAAACTCTGATGGACAACACAGCCCCAACAGTGCTGAACTTCTCGAACAGCATAGCTTCGGTGACATCTGTTGCTAGATCACCAACGTACAGAGACGCTATGGGATAGTTTGGTGCGTGTGGAGCGGGATTCATCTTCAAACTTCTTTAGATTCACTTCGTTCTTGGCTGACTGTGTCCTCAAGTTGAATTTCTTTTGAATTTTTATGGAAGATTTTGTGATTTTTTTGGCAATTTTTTCTGATTTTAAACTTTTTTTTCGATCTTTTTCTACGTTTTGCAAATTTTTTTGGCGGCTTTTAGCGTCGCTAAAGGAAAAGAACGCTAAAAAAACCTTTGAAATACTTAGCAAGAAGCTACCTCGTCAACGATTTCTCGAAGGTGAGAGGAAGTGTTGCGCCACGAGTTCTCTTATCTATCTGCGGGGGCTCCCCTGGAGACTTGCAGGGCTAAAACTCTGATTGGATAAAAATGAACTAAACTTATTTCCGGTTACGTCATTTCTTAGCACGTGCACTGACTGGTGCACTGCTATCCAGATAAATCAGTAATTTCCGCTATTTCCTTGTAACTTTCGATGATTCACTCGCGAGAAGTCGAAGTTTCTGGGGAATACAGGGAAAAAACGTCAACCTCTCAAACTTCATTTCTCAAACCGTCGTGTCTCCCACAGAAAAAAAAAACTGATTCCCATTATTGGATATTTTAGGACATTTAAAGAATACCTATAAAAATCCAAAATTTGGCAAAGTGAGACAAGTTCCAACCAGGGAATTCCCAACCAAGTTCCCTGGTTAGGACTTATCTAACCCTTCCAAATTTGGGATTTTTGTGGGTGTTCTTTACATACCCTAAGACATCCAAAAAATGGGAATCTGTTATTTTTTCCTGTGTCCGGGATAATTTTAATTTTTTTTTTCGCTACCCAAGAAAAAACTTTGGGCTTCTACGCAACAAAAAGTAAATTGCATTCAAACCCCGGGCGAGACAAAAAATAATCTTTATTTTTCTTCCTCAAATAAATTTTAATTTAAAAAGAGCTAGAGGTGATTTCCAGATATCTCGAACAAATTCCGCTCTCAGTTCATCAATACGAAAGGGCTCACGAACAGCATTTTTTGGGACGTTCTGGAGCGTTGCGAGTCCTTTACTTGGCACTCCATCCAAGTAACTAGAGGAAAACTTGTCCAAATAGGAGGATTTGATTAAAAGCGCGATTTTTTTTT